CGTCCGCGATATCTCGCTGGACAAGACGGAGTAGAGGAAATGAGAGCAGAGGCAACAACTATAGAGATGGATCACGATGCCTCTGCTCCACAAACTCAAGACACAACCACGACTACCAAGCCTAAGAGGAAACGAGGGGATAGAAAAGGAAATCTATATCTAGATAAGGCTTGCTATGTGATAACGGAGGTTGGGCCAGCAGCGGAGATCCTTGAGCCAAAGGAATTAAGAGGACGATTCCGTAATGCGATCGGGGCCCTAGTAAGAGATAAATTGAACCCAGCAATCCCTAACTGGAAAGAGGTACCAGAGAACATAAAGAATGCATTATGGGATAGGCAGCTGAAGGTCAATTTTAGATTTCCGGAGGGTAAGCACGAATTGGTAAAAAAATGCTATCAGTATGATGGGAGAGTCATTTCGACGTTGGAGGTCGGAGCTCAACACGGAGTATATCCAAAAGGGATTAACTCCCTTCAACGAGTTCGGCAAAATAACTCCTAGCCAATGGGAGGAGCTCGTGGCTCAGAAGACTTCAGCGGAGGCATTGGAGCTCAGTGCTCGTAACACCGAGCAGGTGAAGAGAAACAAACACCACCATCATCTAGGCCCCGGTGGCTACTATGTCAAGGAAGAGCAGTTTAGGAAGATGGATGAAGAGTCCGCAGCTACTGGGAATATCGATGTGACGAACTTGAAGGTACGCTCAAGAAACTGGATATATGCGAGGAGTATAGAACCATCCGGCAGTAATCTTAAGTTTGATAAGACGGAGACCCAAGAGGCGATATCAAGGATACTGAAATATGCTGAAGACAAAGAGACGGGCTCATTCAATCCTTCTAGAGAGAGGGATGAGCTTAGCCTTGGCTTAGGAAACAAGGAGCACACATGCCGCACTAGGGGGCTAGGGAAAAGGATGACCTAGAAGCAAGGATTCGAAGAGGACAGGCACATGTACAAGAAACATGGCCGAGACCGGGAGACTAATCTTGAGCTCCAAGTGAAAGCTCTAGTTGCGAAGGCGCTGGAGGAGCAAGGAATGTCTACGGAGCCACGTATATTAGTGACGCCGCCGGGAGAACTGGCATTAGTTGGCAGCCCTCCGAAAGTTCCTAGCAGCCAAGGTTCCACTGCAGCCACAACCCCAGTCGATCTCATATGGGAACCTACTAGTGGCACCTTGGTGTTTCTCAGCGGCCGGCAGAACACTGTGATGGAGGTGGCAACGGGTGTGGCACATCCTCCCGGTGGCTTACACCACAATAATAAGATACCGTCGGACTACACTAGGGTCGAGGTGCATACAGTGAAGCTCGAATTCATGCAGTAGAGGATAGACTACGCAACTCCCGAGGGGCTGGTGTTACTCGGAGATATTATGGGGGCAGTTCATCCTCTGGACATAAACGGGACATTATATTGACTGCTTCTTCGCCGCCTCCCCCTCTCCCAAATTTGGAGTGAGTTGTTGAGGCCGGGGATATATTTTCACCGTCTCATGACCCCCACATTCCTGAGATGCCACATTCTTCCCCGCCTCCTATCGAGCATGTGCCTGATGAGATGCCACAACCTTCTCCAGCTCATACCGGGCAAGTGCATCATGAGATGCCACAGTCTTCTCAACAAGCACAACTGATACATGAACAACGAGTGCCTCCTAAAGAAGGTGATGCACAAGAAGATAAGGACGTGCCTAAATGGAAACTCCGAAAGAAGATTCCAATCCACATAAGGCCAGTTTATGTTCCGATCAAAGACGTCTCGTCGGTGTTCAAGTGGTATTCCCATGATCAGTTCAAGCCTGAAAACCAAGTTAAAAAAGTCCCATCACGGGGTTCTGAGGAGGCCGTCAGTAGCAAACTCTACCAAATTGCAAAGCAGTATCCAAATGTTGATGCCATCGAATGGTCAAAGGATTGCCCGAAAAAATATGAAAGAGGCAAGCCCTTCCTACCAAACCGGGACATCCAGCGCCTACCACTTGGAATGAGAAGGTTCCATGATTGGTACTTGTGTGTTCTCCCAACGAGCATAGATATCATACAAGCATGCTTTCCCACCGGCACATTTGGAAGCCCAGCCAGAAAAATTGTCTTTGACTTCAATGACATGCACACATGCTTTCACCTAGGAGAAATGGAGATGAATCTAATTCGCACGTGATGTCTGTAAGTCCTTATCCTCCCGATATGATATGAATGTAATCTTTGAATTTTGTTATAACTAACCCACGCCGTGATTTGTAGAATGCAAGTGCACATTGTCAAACAAATGCCAAGTGTGAAAGCCGGGTATGTAGACTCTCAAGCTATATCCCAAACAAATTTTAATTACCCTAAACGGTGGACACTGGATGCTAAAGAGCTAGCAGCTGCAAAGACTCTTCGGGAGAAAGAGCGCATCCGTAGTGCGAAGCTAAGGGAAGAGTCCATTAAGGTTGCGGCATACATTGCCTTGGTTTTCAAAAATCTCCAACACCACTCTACTATATGGCTACCATACAACTTCGAGTAAGCTCAACTCTATACTTAAAGCTTTGTTCGATATATTTCATTCGATGCAAAAGGGCTTATCTAGTTCTATGATTAAATCCATGCAGCAACCACTGGATTTGTATAGCCGTCGATGTCGGGAGGAGCATGGCATGGGTCTTTGATTCATTAGATAAGGACACGGTGACATACAAAGACTTCATATCGATTCTCAAGACGTATACATATCGACAATCCTCATTAGCTTATATGTTTGTATACATACTTGTAACGTTCACTTTTGAATACTAACAAGTTGTATTTGTTAAAATAATTTGAACATGGCATTTAGTTTCTATGTCACTAATCATCATGGAAGGCATGATCCAAAGAAGAAAGGAAAAGTCGGCTATAAAAAACACTATGTGCGGTAAGTGTAACTTACTTCTTCATTAGACTGTTACATGGTACACAAAAGCATTACTTAACATTTTCATATGCAAAACACACAGTGCCCCAAGCAGAAGCCTGGGAGTGTACATTGTGGATACTATATATGTTCTATGATGGGTAATACCGGTGCCTACAGGAGACACCCCTTAAGGGTAAGTTTGAACCTCTTCACCCGTAGTATAAAAACTTCGTAAATGGTATGAAATACTAAACTAAAACTTATTTTCTTGTAGTGGAGAGAAGAGAAAGGAATGAAAAGAGACCCATACAAGGATGACCAACTCTTAGAGCTCGTCGGCGACCTTTGCAACTTCAAATTAGACCAGATTATACACGTCAGAGGCGTCTACCATGACCGAGAGTCTGAGTTAGGTACAAATCCTCAGTACCAACACCTTCGTGAGACTGAAAGGCTAGCTCTAGGACGTTAATAACAATGTGTATGTAATTTGTATATTTAATGATGGATTGTATATATTCATGTGAATTGGACTTATAATTGTACTTTATAAAATACTCTTATGCTTGTAGTCGCGGTCGCAGGGTGTTCGGTAACGCGAACGTTGGTCACGGGCGTTAAACGCAACGCGAACGCGTTCGAACGTTATCGCGGGCGTTTCGCAACGCGAACGCGGTTCGAAACGTTGGTTGTGGGACGTTCGGCAAAGTGATTTTGAATTGAAAATTTGATTTTTTTTACGGGAAAACGTACTGTAGGGGCGGTTCTAGATTGAACCGCCCCTACAAATACCTGTTTGTAGGGAAGGCTGTAGTACCAGCCGCTCCTATAAATCGATTTGTAGGGGCGGCTGGTACTACAGCCGTCCCTACAAATCGATTTGTAGGGGCGGCTGGTAATAAGAGTCGTCCCTATAAATCGATTTGTAGGGGCGACCTGGTAACCGCCCCTACAAATGCATGATTTGTAGAGGCCCTTGCGTAGGGGCGGCTGGGCAAACCGCCCCTACAAATGGTCTACAACCGCCCCTACAAATGCTTTTTGACGTAGTGTAGAGTTTGGTATTTTTGACTTGATAAAATAAAAAAACCCATTAACAAAACGAATAAGGCCCGCTAAGCGAACGAAGAGCCCCGCTAAGCGAACGAAGAGTCCGCTAAGAAACGAAGAGCCCCGATGCCAAGCCGTATACGCGCGCGTATATTTGCGCGCGCGGAGGAAAGATTTGCCAAGTTGCTATTGATGCCAAGTTGTTTTGCCAAACTGTTGGAGGCTATTTTTCTTGTTTTGCCAAAATTATATGGATGTCAAGTTGAGATAGCAAACTCTTGGAAATGCTCTAAGGATGCATTATGCGCAAAAAAAAGTATTAAGGATACATAATTGCATATTGAGATTACACACATACAGCAGGTCCGCCGTTGTTTCTTAACGCTAAAAAAAATAAGTATATAGAGGTGTATCCTGCCCACCCGGATTATCTGCAAGTGATTAAAAATAAACACTAAAAAATCTTAAAGCAAAATCAACATTTAGTTTTGCTGCTCAAGAAATTTATTAGGGTATTAATATTTACTAGCAAATAGCAAATAGGCCCATGCGTTGCAACGAGAGAAAAAATGAAACATTAGTAGAAAATAACAACAAAATACTATATATCTATTTATGTTTCACTATTGTTACAAAATTTAAAAGCTATAACTTATTTATAATGACCATGACATCCTAGGCAATTATATGATAATGTCCTACTTAGCTGTATCGAAATAAAATACAACATTGATAAAAATTTATCTGGTTCCAAAATAAAGAAATATTTACTTGTAAATATTTTAACTTTAATTTTATATTATTTAATTATTTGATTTGATTAATTGGACCATTGATTCATCCATTCGCACTCATGGAGAATATGGAGTTAGAGATGCAAACACACCTTACGGGACCCAGCCGCCACCCGCCAGCGAGGTGTGACCGGGTTCTTCTACAGCTTCCACACACTTCAGGCTCGAGGGCAAGCAAACACCAACAACGACGCTAAGCACCTAAGCTACACAAGGTTCTAATTCGGCACAGTTCTTGCTCAGGCAGTCAGGCGCCGCCCAGAAACCATGGCTCCGGTTTTGACAATCACCGACGTCACCTACGTCACTGCGACGGCTGGCGCGCTGCCGTCCGAGCCTAGCATCAAGCTCAAAGCCATGGAGGCGCAGTGGGTTCTGGTTCCGCTGCTGCAACACCTCCTGCTCTTCGAGGGCGACCATCTGCCACCCTTCGACGCCATCCTCCGATCCCTCCGATCCTCCCTCGCGACGACCTTGGCCACCCACGTCCCGCTCACCGGCAAGCTCTACTACCTTGCGGACATCGGCGATGTCGCCATCTGTTACTCCATCGGCGGCGGTGGCGACGACGACTGCGTCAGGTTCTCGTCGCCGCGGAGGGCGACGCGGACGTGCGCCGCCTCGCAGGCAACGACCATGACATGCTCACGTTCGTGCGCCTCGTTCCGGAGCTCGACATGAGCCTGCTGCCGGGGCCGCTGCTTGCCATGCAGGCAACGCGTCTCGCAGTCGCAGGAGGCGGGGTGGCCCTCAAGGTGATCCTGCACCATGCCGTCGCCAACGGCCCCTCGCTGTGAAGCTAGCATGTTCCTTCTTCCTTGTCCCATGGATCAAAGCACGTTGTTATTTCATCGTATTAGCTCGATAGACGTCTGCAGCCCGACCTCCTTGAATCTCCGTGAATCCTAGCGACAGCGTCGGTGTGGTGGTATTTTGTAGTGCACCCAAGACACGTTGATGTGTTGAAATAGAGTCCTGGCCAAATACGGCCACAAGATGGCCCAAATCGGAGCACATATGGAAGACGGATGGAAATACTACCAACCGGAGGTTTAAACAAACATATCGCCGTGCCTTTCTCTGTTTATTCGTGGATGTAGAATCGGAAGGATAGAAAATCGAAATAATGTTCTTTTGACCGTCGGAAGAAACACTTTGTTATGTATAGAGTAGGATAGTGTTGACGCCGATTCGGTTCACACACTCATAGGGGCTAGATCACCCAGAGGCCGCAAAAGGCCTAGCACGCAACGAAGGTAGATCCAAACGGCGAGGCCGACTAGCAGGTCGACGAGGCTGATCAGACGCTTGTTCTTCGCCCGATAAACCCACGAACGTGTCCCGGGAAGAACACGTGATGGGGTGTTCTAGGATCGGCTAGTCCACCTAGAACGCAGTCATATCTCATCAAGAGATGTGCCGGACAGCAGAGGTTGAAAAAGCTTGACGTAGAAGATAAAAGTAATAGATGTGTTTTTTTGACAACATGGTGTTGGATGTCTCAAGACCGTCACCCTTTATATTTATAATATAATAGGACAGCTAGCCTTTCCTGTATATAGAATAGAATATAAAATTCTTGGGCTACATTAGTCACGTTGATTTACCCTTTATATTTATAATATAATAGGACAGCTAGCCTTTCCTGTATATAGAATAGAATATAAAATTCTTGGGCTAGATTAGTCACGTTGATTTTCCATAATTATATTTGGACTTTAACAAACTCCTAACATGGATATCACATACGTGTATCTTGATGTTGTCTTCTCGCACTACGCTAGATTCTTACAGTAGGAACGGGAACATTTTTACTGTAGGGCGGTTGGGGTTGGGGGTGCCCCTACAGTGGGCGTGCTCGGGCCCTAGCAGCCCAGCCCTCCTCTGATGATGATCAGGGGCGGCTCAATCACCACCACCCTGTGGTGTGCCCATTTGTAGGGGCGGCTGCCACCAGCCGCCTGCCGTTCGACTATAGGGGCGGCTGAATCACCAGCCGCCCCTACTAATGGTGCACGAATAAATAGCAGCCACTACTTCTTCCACCTCGGGACACACTCTTCTACACAAAAAAGGTTGAGAGGCCTTAGACTCCTCCTAAAAATTACTCTACTAAGGGGGGTTTGATCTCAAATCCTTTGGTGGAGAGGCTCTAAAAGGTAAAGAAATGATTCTCCAACTCTTTATTTGAAGTTTAATTCGTTGGTTAGTGAGTAATTTGATTTTTGGTTTTCTCTCTCTTTCATGGAGCTTGAGCTAGTTATGAGTGAAATTAGACCCTAATTTTCACTATACTAGGGTAAATTAGTTAGGGAAGTAAGATTGCACCCTTTGTTAGTACATCTTTGTTGATTTTAGTGTAGTATTGCTGAAGTTTGGTGCATGTGTCATAAAACCCTATATCTAGATCTAGATCTAGGATTTTATTTTTTTTTTTTCAATTTTTTCTTTATGTGACTAGGGTTTGCATGTAGGTGAATGTGTAAGATTTTAATTGTTGCTAATGTGTAAAATATTATCTACCATGGCTACTAATTATCATTTAATATTTATTTTGATTCCTTTCTATAATGTGTGTTTTTAATTAGTTATGGATAAATAGGCCATTAATTAATTATCCTCTATCATGAAATTGGAATGGAGTTTGCATGAAAGGTAGTTGATGAAATATTAAATGTTGCTAATTGTTTTCTTTGAAATTGTTTATTTGAACCAATTAATTTATATTTTAAAATATTTATGCATTAATAGTCAATTAATTAACTATCCTCTACTATCATGGTACGTGTCTCAGGTATATACAATTATTCTCGAGTAATATTCTTTCTTTGGTTGTTTTGTTTCTATAAGATGGACTACAAGAACTCTTGGATGTATGGTTTGTTAAGACACGACGCTCTTTTCCGTGATGAGGTGGACAAATTCTTCAAAGCCACAGAGAAGCATGCAGCGACGTTGAAAGAGAATAGTGACACGATTATTTGTCCCTACAAAGATTGCAAGAACCTTATTGCATTTCGAGATGTGAGTATCATCAAAGAACATCTGATTAGAAGAGGATTTGTTCTGGACTACACAGTGTGGATTCATCCTGGTGAAACAGTGGTTGTTGATGACAGCGATGATGATCTAGCTGATGAAGCTGAAACCCAAGCATACTTGTCCCAATTCACAGACGATCTTGAGCAATAAATGGATCGTGACTATGACAATCAACAAGGTGGTGGCTTTGGCAATGAACAAGGTGGTGATGATGTTTGTGGTGCCAGCAACGATGGCGAAGCACGTGAGGGGGATGCAGATGACGGTGACAACTTGTACAAAATGCTTAGGGCCTTTGGACCAGAAATATTAGAAAAGAGCAAGAGAGGTCTAGAAAATCTTGAGAGGGTGATAAAAGCATCGAAGAAGAATATGTATGATGCTGAGAAGGGTTGTCCGACATACTTCACACTGCTACATTTTATGCTTGAGCTACTCATCCTGAAGGCTAAGTATGGCTGGTCGGACTGTAGTTTCGATGATCTATTGTGCCTCATGTCACGGTTGCTCCCACGGCCGAACACAGTTCCTGCCAACACATACCAAGCGAAGAAGGTTATAAGTCCACTCACATTGGGGGTTGAAAAAAATCCATGCATGCCCCAACCACTTTAGATACATGTCCTAGGTGTGGGGCTAGTTGGTACAAGAACAATGACCTTCAAAGTGGGATGAAAGCCTCCACAGGAAAGAGGAAGAAGGGTGGAAAGAAGGTGGTGCAAGAATCTCAGCCCCCAGAGGAAACTCCATTAGGCAACGATGCAAATAAGAGAATAATTCCTGCCCTGGTTATGTGGTTCTTGCCAGTGACCGACCGCTTAAGGCCTATGTTCCTAAACCCTAAGGAAGCCGCACTGATGACATGGTGGGATGATGAGCGCAAGGTGGATGATGATACGATCGCACACTCGGCCGATTGTAGCTAGTGGCAAGCGTTCGATGCCAAGTACAAAGCAGAATTCAGTGATGACCCACGGAATGTACGGTTTGGCTTGAGCAGCGATGGAATGAATCCCTTCAATGAGAGGATGACCGACCACAGCACATGGCCAGTCATCTTGACCATGTACAACCTCCCAACGTATTTGTGTCAGAAGAGGAAGTACCTTCTCCTCACCATTCTTATCTCCGGCCCCAAACAACCAGGCATTGATATAGACGTGTTCTTGGAGCCTCTGATGCAAGAAATGGAGAGGCTATGGAGGTATGGGGAGCCGATGTACGACGCGTTCCGGTGGGATGACTTCATATGCAAAGCAATAATATTTGTTACTACCAATGATTACCCCGTGCTGTTTGCCATGTCTGGACAGTTCAAAGACAAGACTGGATGCTTAGTCTGTTTGGATGGTACTAAATGGGTGTTCCTAGATGGATCCAGGAAGATAGTTTATATAAGGAAACAACGCTTCTTAAAGACAGGTCACAAGTACCACGGCAAATTGTACCTAAGATACTATGGCAACATCCTAGAGGATGAACCCCCTCCAGAGAGACGTCGTAATGGAGAACATGTGTTCAGAATGGTCCAAAACATACATGTCGTCTATGAAAAGAAGAATCCGGATAGAACGATCAGAGATAGAAGCACACCTCCCATTGAAGGCGTACCATTCAAGAAGCAATCGATCTTCTTTTAGTACCTGCCTTATTGGCCAGACTTGGAGGTCCCCCATGCCATTGATGCGATGCACATGCAGAAGAATGTCTTTGAGAGTCTCATGGCTACCTTGATGGACATGGGCAAGTCAAAGGATGGTCTCAGATCACGAAAAGACATGGTGCAGCTGAACGTGATGCGGGAGGTTTGGCCGGTACAGCAGGATAATGGCAAGTACAGTCTTCCCGCGGCTAGCTTCAACCTAACCCTAGAGAAGAGGAGAGCTATATGCAATTTCCTTAGGGGTGTCAGAGTGCCGACTGGGTTTTTGGCGAACCTGAAGAATCTAGTGTCGATGAAGGACCTATCATTAACATACTACAAGGCTCATGATTGTCATGTGATGCTGATAGTGTTCCTACCAATTGCAATCAGGGCTATAAAGTCAGAGTTCCTAAAGATGGCCATCACCCACATGTGCTACTTCTTTTCGAAGATCTCACAGAAGACGATTCGCAGGCAAGAGCTGAGTGACCTACATGAATTCATGGTGGAGACCCAGAACCAGCTAGAGATGTGTTTACCTCCTGCTTTTTTTGATATAATGGTACATCTCATGATTCACCTGGTTCATCAGATCAAGGCGCTGGGCCCTAGCTTCTTGCATGAAATGTGGTCCTATGAGCGGTTCATGTCGGTTCTAAGCCGATACGTGCATAACCCCACACACCCAGAGGGCTCTATGATAGAGGGTTACAATTCCGAAGAAGTCGTCGAGTGCTGCCAAGAGTGGCTAAAAGTACAGAGAGGGATTGGTAATCCCGATTCTTATCACAAGGGAAGGCTAGCTGGGAAGGGCACAAGTGGTAGGAAAGTGTTCCTCGACAATGATTACAGAGAGGTGAGTCGGGCGCATTACAGTGTCTTGCAGAGTATGGCAGTGATGCAACTGTACATTGATGAACACATGGCTATCATTATGGTCGAGAGGAATGGCCGTTCAGATGATTGGGTCATGAAACAGCATAAGCAACGTCTG